ATAAAATGAACTGCTTTTAAATATTTACAAGAAAAGGAAATACGGTTTAACCTCTTCTCCGTTTGCCATCTCCATTGGTATTTTTGTCTACCGAAGTTCTATGACATTTACTTCTTGGCAATGTTATGCTTTAAATTAAAAACCAACACCTAAACATATTGTTTATATAAGCAGATTCTCTGATTCCATCTCTGTCTACCACATTTTAGAGACATGGAATCTGACAACTAGGAATTTAGTTTACACTGCATCTGTAAAGTAGTGCACAGGCACTTTGTACTTTATATCAGAAACAGGACAAATTCAATAGTTCTTTTAAAGACATCTACAGAAGACCACAAATGTAATCTTTAGTTCTAAGAAAACTGTTTTAGATGTTAACACGAAGAACTGAATCACAAAATTAGTGAGTGATAGGAGGCTATATCAAGTGCAGGAGCACAAGGAAATCTTGATTTCGGTTTATGAATACTTCTGAAAAGAATAATTTTGGATCAAGTAGCAGTGATTCACAATTTGCTAAGCCTGCTGTGGGAGTGTTTAAAAAGGTAGTGCGGTTTCTATTTCTGCTCTCTCTATTCTTATTGTCTGCTTTGCCTTGTGTAATCCATGAACAGAAGAAGGTCTTCCTCATGTTACACAATGACTGGTATTAGCTTCTCCACACAGAAACTAAATATTCCCTATCATTTGGACACACATATTAATCAACATGCTTGCTATTTTATCAAATACTCTCAAAAACAAGTAGCATAAAATCTCATCACTTTTGTCTCACCATATTAATATGATTTTACAGTACAGCTTTTAATTGATCCTTGTACCACATTATTTTCAAGTTAATGCTATTAAATTGTAATATTTGGAAATTATCCAAGAATTAAATTATCAGCTCATACTATATTTGCCCCCAACACATTTACAAGACTTTTTTTTTTTTTTTTTTTTGGTCTCTTTCCATATCTACTTGTTACCATTCCTGACCTCACCCATATGCACATAACACACTCTATGTCTCCTTTTAAACTGCCACTATGGAGCTACAGAACTCTCGAAGAACACTACACAATAGGAAGCAAATGGCTGTTTGCCACTGACTGGATAGTAGAAGGTAACTGCATGCTCTTTACTCCTCTAGCCCCATCTAGATACCATTAGCTTACTTCGTGTCTGTCTTTTTTAAACCTCCTTGTCCTAGGGCAGCGGTCTTTCAATGCATAAAAATTACCTAGAGAAGCCTGTTGAAAGTTTCCTGGGCCCCACTCCCAGAGATTCTGACTCAGTAGATCCAGTAAGACTCTACTTACATTTCTGTCAAGCTTACGGATGAGGCCAAAAATGCTGGTTTGAGGACCTTGAGTCTAGGGGTAGAAAAGTTTCTCCCAACAGATCTCCAATGGGAAATTCAAGAACACATCTGGGGCTGAGTCACTCGGTTCTCTTAGTTAGCTAAAGTGATTTAGCTACCACCTAGAAGTTAAAAGGGAAATAGTACTGTAAATGTCATTTTAATCACTTTTAAATCTTATCTTTAGCTCTAAACAATGACTTACACAAAGAGGTTTGAATTCCAGTCAACGTTGCCACCGAATGCTGTGCAACTCAATTTGAAACAAGGATCTTTAATAAATGTCATAAAAATAAAGTCATCTATGTGATAAAAAGATAATGCATACATACATGATTTAGATCATCCCTTTTACCCTCACCCTTTCTTCAATTTCAATCCATTTTTAGTGAAAATTTGCAATTAAAAACTTAATAAAAATATAACACAACCAATAAAATACCATAATGACATCTACATTCACATTATATTAAAATACCTTCATTTATCATCATATCACCTGATGTTTAGCCAAATTATTCCAAATAATGTCAGAAGACTTGATCTAAATACAAGTCATATTAGGTAACCAAATATCCACTCGGTTCAATGTAAGTGCATTTCATCTACTCAGTTCTGTAAAGAGTAATAAAGACACATTATTAATATAGCAGCTGTCGTTGAGTCTTAGAAAATCATTTCTACCAACTGTCAGGTAACCGAAGTCTACCGTATATTCTAAGACTCTTGTGTATGCCAGTTAAATGAGCTAAACTTAAGCCAAGATATATGGAAACTGTAATTTCCTCTCGGTTTTGCTGGGAACCTTAAATTGCTCTAAAAAAATAAAGTCAATTAAAAATTGAGCCTGGATTATTAATAAATCAATATTTTACTATAGTAATTATGTTTTCATTTTAAGCAAGTGATACTCAAGTCAATGGCTAAAATGATAAAATTGCCTTTCCCGACCTTTGAAATTGAAAGATTGTCTAACCTCTTCCTAATAGTGACATTTACATTACCACCTTGTGCTGGTTCCTTTCTGACCAAAGCCGTATAGTTTCAATTACCTATTCTCCATGTGGCTTGTAAAGCTGGAGGATCCATTTCCTTTATGTTTAGAAAACATAATTTCTTTTCTAATAAATATGGTTGGATGATCAGATAAGG